CACTCGTCGAGTTGCTCCCCATCTTCATGCTACTCGCCGAGTCCACTCAAAGGACTCGCCGAGTCCATTCAGATCTCCTTACATGCAAAGGACTTTTGAGTCATGCATGGACTCCAAACTGTAGATCTACCCTTCCCAAGCCTATTCCTCACGTAAAGTTGCAAACTTTACGTGTAGAGAAGGAGATCTAGGCAAAATACACCATGAACTAGGGTTTAAGGCAAAGAGGCTCCATGATCCACTCAAGGGCTGATACTTTGTGCTTCTCAAGACCATAATATGCGTAGATTTGAAGTAGCAACCTCAGATCTGGCTTCTAACTCAAAAGAGGTAACTAATCATGGCTAGAAAAGCCCCAAAACTCACAACCATACTAGATCTAAAGGAGAGAATGACTTAATACCTTCAATAACTTCGAAAACTTCTCAAATCTTCGGATCCAAGGCCAATCCTTGAAGCTCCAATGATTCCCCTTCTTCTTCTTCCTTCAAATCACCCCACAAATGGCTTGGAAGCTTGAATGAGCAACAATGGGGATTAGGGTTCGATGTTCTGGGTGAAAGGGGCAGTAAAGGAGCCCTAGGGGAGAGAATGAGATGTTTAAATAGGCTCCAAGTCCCAGTTTTAGGGTTTTCCTCATACAGACCAGACTCGCCGAATCCCCTTGGCCGACTCGCCGAGTCGGTTACTTACTCCTTGACCCGGATCCCGCTCGGACTCGCCGAGTTCATCCTTAGACTCGCCAAGTCACCCTTAAAAGTAGGGTTTTCTTTCGTTTTCTTGGCCTTCCAAACTTTGGGTGTTACATTTTTTGCTTCAAGAATTTTTGTTTTTTGTTTCAAAATATTGTTTTCAATCTGGCTTTGTATATGTTGTGTATCTTTTTCATATTGGATAAGTTGTTGTTGTAACTTTGCAATAATTTCTTCCTGAGCCTTGATCATTTGCTCTGGACGAGTTCTTGCTATTTCTAAAAATGTTTTCACCTGTTCGGGTTCTATGAAAAAACTGTTTAACCCAAAATGTTCTGGAGCAATATTGATAGCTTCTTGGAAGCTATAACATCCCTTGTAAAGGGGATTTTGACACTGTATATATTTTATGACTGTTGCCCAATTATTAAAAATCCCAACTTTAGTGCCCCTGATGACAACATAATGTGTAAACTTCTTTATTTGTTTTTCAGGAGTCAATAATAATTGTTTATGAAAGTAAAAACTTAAAGCATTGAGAATTTAAACTTTAAATGATGAAGTCTGTGGAACTGTCTGAATATGCCATAAGTTGTCTAGCAAACATTGTTGGTCTTCTGTCAAGTTTACCCCGATGATGGGCCTAAACTTTTTACGTTCATCAAAGCAAATTGGTAAAGTGCAGTTATCAAATGTTATAACGGCTTCTCTGTTCTGTGTATATTGTGTATTTTTTGAAGGTCCTGCCCAATAATGTGCATATTGAATGTTTTAAGATTGTGGTCTAGATCCTTGCAAAAGGTTATTATTATGTATAATACTCGTTATTTCCATATAAGGAATCGAGTTCTGTTTATACAAATATTTTATTATATTATTCCACGAGCTTATTTAAGTCACTGTTACTTTTACATTTTATGTTTTGACCTTGTAGTCAACAAAGATTTTAAAGTAGGATTTTGTTGGGCAAAGTAGAGTTTTTGACCAAAATAGAGTTATAGGAAAAAATATTTACCAATCTAGTATACTTTAAAAAATATTTACCAAACTAGTGATTTTTCATTTTCTCTTGTATTTTTCAAATTTTCATGTTGTTTTTATTTATTTTAAATATTAGTTTTTTTCTTTATTTAAGTTTTTTACTGTTTTTTTTTATTTTTTAAATATCAGATTTTTATTCTTTATTTCAATTTTTTTCCCTTTTTTAAATATATGTTTAACATAGTATACAAAATACATAATTTCATGCATTTTCGTCAATTAAAAATAAGATGATTTAATGAATAACACTATTATAATTGATTATTGTCATCCATCATAAAAGAAATGCCATGAAAAATAGAGTTTCTCGGTTCCACTGAACATCTTTTTAACGATAATATATTTTATGGATAAATTTATATAGAGGCCGTTACCTCCTCCGTTAGGCTTTTACTTATTAAAAATATATGTCAATGTACGTCTTCTAAATAAATTTTTATGTGCAAATTAAAAACCCACAATATTTTATTTGAATAAATTCATTAATGCATTATTTTAGTTTCAATTTTTCTAATTTGAAATATATATATATATATATATATATATATATATATATATATATATATATATATATATATATATATTCATTTGATATTAAGTGTTAATGTGTTGTTACATTATTATATAATTTTCAATTATTTAATAGTTCATAGAAATATGGATAATTTTATGGGCAAATTTTCTTATAATACCACAAAAAACTGAGCAATTGCAATGATATTTAACATTGCTGGTAGTGTATAATATTACGATATTTTTTTAATCGGTCATTTATAATAGTTTATAGCATGAGTAATTGCAGTCACTAACATAATTTATTGAAATGTTATCTTAACATTTTTAATATATGTTGAACAAAGATGTTTTAACGTCAATTAAAAATGAAATATTACATAATTATTAGAAAATATTTTTAGCGGAACTAGAAAACTTTATTTTTTTATGGTGTTTATTTTTGTGATAGGTGGCAAGAATCAATTATAATAGTGCAATTCATTAAAACATTTTTTTTTAATTGACGATAACGCGTGTAACTATATACAATTTTTGTTTTTTATACTATTTTAAACATATATTACAAAAAAAAAAAAATGAAATAAAAAATAAAAAAAAAAAAATAAAAAAAAAAAAGCTGATATTTAAGAAAAAAAAAACAATAAAAAGTTGGACAAAAAAACTGATATTTAAAATCAAATAAAAAGTAAAAAAACTAAAAAATACAAGAAAAATGAGAAAAACACTAGTTTAGTAAATATTTTTGAAATTATACTAGATTGGTAAATATTTTTTTCCAATCATTCTATTTTGGTTAAAAACTCGGGCAAAGTATCTATTAGAATTATGATTAGATTATTATTATTATTATTTTGTTTGGGTATAATGCCTTTTACAAAATAAGTAAGAAAATTGTTTGTCACAATTTAGATTAGAAACATATTTGTAGTTTTCTTTGGATAGACACGAGTACCGCCCGTGTGGCTATTCCTTCACTAATCTTTGCTGGATGGTCCGATCCGTATATTTCTTTTATATATATATATATATATATATATATATATATATATATATATATATATATATATATATATATATATATATATATATATAGGGTTAGGTTCATTTGAGACCATTTATATTTTGTGAGACCGTGAGATGCATTTTTTTAATTTTTTTTTAATTTTTTTTAGTTAATTCATGTATCGAAAATAATATTTAAAAAAAGAATTTTTTGATTTTTCCATTTATTTTGCATTTTAAAATTATTTTTAGAATATGTACAGTGTAATATTCTATTTAGAATATTTCACGTATTTTTAAAAAAAAAATAGAATTTTTTTTTTATTTTTTTTTATTTTTTTTAGTTAATTCAAGTTCCGAAAATAATATTTAAAAAAAGAATTTTTATATTTTTCCATTTATTTTGCGTTTTAAAATTATTTTTTAGAATATGTCAGTGTAATATTCTATTTAGATTATATTTCACGTATTTTTCAAAAAAAAAAAAAAAACGGAATTTTTTTTATTTTTTTTTATTTTTTTTAGTTAATTCAAGTTCCGAAAATAATATTAAATTTTTTTTTTTTGAATTTTTTCATTTATTTTGCATTTTAAAATTATTTTTAGATTTGGTCTCACGGTCTCACAAAATTAGAATGGTCTCAAATGAACCTGAACCTATATATATATATATATATATATATATATATATATATATATATATATATATATATATATATATATATATATATACAGAATCAAGATCAAATAAGAAGGAAATTTTTGGTAGGAAGGTAAGAAATTTTTTTTCTACATATTTTTTTCGCGAACAAACAAAATGAATCATTAGATGATTCATTTGTAAGATGATTCACAAGAAAAAAATCTCAAAAAAACATCTCGATGATTCATTTATACAATGATTTTGTTGTTATTCACTAAAATTGTCATAAAAGTGAATTTTTTCTTAATTTACTTAAAAATGAATCATAAATATGTTCTTTTCGGAATTTTTTCTTGTGAATCATCTTACAAATGAATCATCTAGTGATTCATTTATTTTATTCGTCAAAAAAATATGTAGAAAAAAAACTTCTTACCTTCCTACCAAAAAAAATTTCTTACCGGATCTATATCCAGATTCTAGATCAAATAAGAAGTGAATTATTTGTAGGAAGGTAGGAAGACATATATATATATATATATATATATATATATATATATATATATATATATATATATATATATATATATATATATATATATATATATATATGGAACCTACAATTAAATAATGAAATATATAAATACGTTGCAACTTACGGTAAATAATAACTTTCATTTAAATGATGAATTAAAATGAGATAAATACGCTAAAAAGTTATCTCTTTGTTATCCCTAATATTATCACATATCTTTATGTTTTCCTGCCCTAATTTCCGCCTAAAAATGAAGTCGGCATCAGTCATTGATAAAGAAAAATCAATAGTTTAAATGAAAGCTATCAAATTGAAGATCATGCTCTACGATATTGAATTTCTACTCCAAGGGTTTATACCAAACTTCAATATTCCTCTACGAATCCGGTTATACAGAACCATATTTTTCGCCCAAAAAACTCATTCATATTTTCAAATTGAAAAAGAAGAATCGATGGTTTATTATTGGAGATTGTATACCATTAAATTGGAGATATTGTACTACGGATTTTTCTGTTATGATGGTTTTACAAAGATTAAATGGATGGTAAAGCAATATAAAGATGGTCGAAGGCTTCATACCGAAATTCAGCAATCAGATACAATTTCTTGTGGGATTTGCACTGGTGTTTAATTTTTTTTTTTTTTTTGACTAATGGAGTATCCTGGTGAAGCACAACCTCATACAAACTCGACGGGTAAGTACTTTTTGATAGCTTATTAGTATTCACTTGTTGTGAACAAGACATCAGTGCTTGACATTATTTATGCAAGTTATATACATTTGTTCTTAATGATAATAGTTGTCAAGTGTTTAAGTGAATCAAGTGTTTTTTTATTACTATATATGATGTGAATTTAGAGTCCTGGTAATAAAACCTAGGTAGTAAAGTGATTATGTTAGTAGAAATGATTTTGGTTACCAATGTTTATCTTTCAAATGAATCCGGTTAAACAGGTTTTTGGTATTAGGGTTGTATAGGATATATTGATAGATCTTTAACTGATTCAAAATACTGTAACATATATTCAGTTAAGTATTCACGTTATATTTATTATATTTTCTCTTTAATTTTACATTAATAATCGTTTAAGTAATTTATTTTTACATATTTGGTTCTAAAGTGATTACATCAGATACTTATTCTCGAAAGCGTCCAAGTGATGATGACGACGATTTTGTAAACCCGCCACCTGTTACAATGCCGATACAAAAGATTGTGAAAAAGCAAACCAGAATAGAAAAGCCAAGAAACGTGGAAAATTCATTAAGATGTTTGAATACCAGGTTCCCCCCGGAACACATAACCAAAACCATGACCTTGCTGAACAAAGATCAACAAAGATGTGTACAATCTATTGGATTTGGATCAGCTCTAAATATGCAGTTAGAAAAGCTACCTCGTAGGATATGTTACTGGGTCGTTGAAAACTACAACCCAACTAGCAATTCCATTCATGTACAAGACCAAAGACTTTTAGTGACAAGGGAAAGAGTACACGAGGTATATGGGATTCCAATGGGTGACCTACCAATGTCTAACCCTTCCAAAGCAAATTCTGAAAATAAGGTTGTCAAACTTTGGAAATCCCAATTTCCAAAAACAATAAAAAGAATACGGCTAACACATGTTATTGACATGATAGTAAAGGATACAAATGCCGGTCCATTTTTTATCATGAATTTTCTTGTGTTGTTTGTATCGGTGATGATTGAGTATTCAACGATGTGGACTGTCACTACTACAAAACACCTTATAGGACTCGCCAAATAGGTCCCGGTTTCTTGGAAAACCGGGATATATTATGAAAAAACCGGGACTTATAAAGGGAAAAGTTATACGACCCGGTTTAACAGAAAGAACCGGGGTCTATGTTATACTTAAATAACCCATTTCTCAACTTAAAAACCGGTACTTTTGGCTATATGGGTTTGCAACCCGGCCTCTAGAAAAAAACGGGTTCTATTACTATTACTAGAAGAGATAAGTTCAAGTAGCTATATGACCCATTTTTAAATAACGGGGCTTTTTGACTTCTTTTACCAAATATAAATGTGCCTTAATTAATAAGTCAGCTTAATAATACAATTAGCACTCCATAGTTGCAATCAACAGAGTACCAAAACCAAGACTAAATTATTAAATCCACACCAAAACAATTGAATTTCTTCCCTCGATAGTATTGTAACTTGACACATGTAACATCGAACATAGACAAAGTATGCAACTTGTAACATCACAGTTTGAAATTAACCATTGGCTTATAAGTTTTAATTTTAAGGCCAAATACTTTATTACAGGAAAGAGGGCAGCATGGAGGTGACAAGTTTTTTTTTTTTTTGAACGGCTCAGACGCTAATAGTCAACAAACACCAACAGGAAGATGAAAACAAATCATACAAAACAACCATCTACAACAAAAACAAAAGAATCTAATGATCCAAAGAACAGAGAACAATATTAAGCAAGCAGAAGATCCCCACCCCCCCCCCCCCCCCCACCCCCAAGGGTAAGAAGGTCCAGATAGCGAAAATCTATTCCACCAGCAACCTTGATAGCAGGGCAAGCAAGAATAAAGGCCAACAGAAGAAAAGAAAAATAAATATTCAGTCAGCAAGTACCACATCCAAAGAACTCCAAGCAGGGGTAAAAAGGTCATAAATTGAACAAACATCCACCAACTATCTTGAAAATACACAGCAACCAGCAACACACAAGCAATACCAAAGAAAAACAAGAAAGCAATCCCGCAGCTCCGTAACACATAAGAGAAACCGATCAAGAAAACACCTCACAGATGCAAGACAAATCCAGGGGTAAAAACGTCAAAGGGAGTAAACAACTCAGCAAATCAACTTTCTGCCACCAGCATCCATAACAAGAACACCACCAAGCTTAATCACGAGAGCACCCCCAAAAGAACTAGTCTAAACAGAATTTCACCCGTAGTCTCATAGCAAAAATAGAGCCATCAAAGCTGAGAGTAAATCTATGAAGACCAGAAACAAAGATCCATTCAAGATACAACCAAAAAATGAAACCACACATCAATTCGGAAATGTCAATGAGAGAAAAAACTAAATTTTTTTAAAGAAAAAAACACTAGACAGATAAACAACCACTGCTTCGTTCCATACACTAGTTGAATATTTGGTCATACGGCCGGTTTTAGGATATTTTGGGTAGGGGCACAAACAAAAAAGTGTTAAAACTAGTAAACAAATGGATTATTGCAAGTACATTGCTAATTGCCTAATGTAAAATGTAACACAGTTGTTTGTGTGTTTGAGTCTTGGTCAGAAATGGCATAACAAGAAGATTTGCATGTACTACAATCAAAATCACTTGGGCAGGACCCTGTTAGCATAAGTTAACCATAATGGTTATGGCTAATAATAACAGTTAACCATTATGATAAAAAATGAATTAAAATAAAGTACGTTGCTATTAAAATTGAAAATAAGAAACTATTTACTATAAAAAATACCTTTTATTAAAATAAAGTATATTGCTAAATGCTAATAACAAGAAGATTTGCATGTAGTACAATCAATAGTCTCTAAGTCAGACCCTGTTAGCTGCAAGTTGGAGATTTAAGATTTAATGGAAAATAAGTAAAAATTAAACAATTATACATGCAACAATCTGCCACCAAAACCATAGGCATCCCCGCCTAAATTTCCTTGCAATCTAACCTCTAAGTAATCCCGAAATATTGTAAGTTTTGTTGACCCTGTGCTTTTTAATAAATCTGAACTCATAATCTCATACAGAACAAACGTATGAGAGGGGTACAAAAGGGAGAACAGAAAACAAAAATAAAAGATCAGACCTGAAGTAAGGTAAACATAAATCATGAGCGTTGAATGAGAAACTGAGATACGCAGTACATATGACGAATCTCTTTGATTGCAGATGGTGTAATTGCTTTCTTTTCTCTCCTTTCTTTCTATGTTTTCTATAATCCTGATCTCTCCTATGTGTATTTATCTCTCCCTACAACAACCCCTCTCGATTTCTTACCCTTTATCGGTCTCTCACTTTTCTCTCTTTTTTTACGATCCTTCTTTCTCTCCTTTCTGTGTATTACTAGTCGAATGGAATGGGTGTTTGTGTATAAAAGAAAACAAATTGTAGTTGATTCTAGAGAGAGGGAGTAGAAAAGGTATATACCAAATCAATCAATGATAGATTAGAAGCTGGAATAAGATCTAGTTTTGGCGGGAAAAAAAGGATGTAATCCCGCCTTAAAAAAATAAATAAAACGTTAAATTTATAAAAGAAAGTAATATTTAGGGATGATCAGTTTCTACCACATTCCGATCACGTAAAGGTAGTGTACCGGAACCGGTACCGAATCGTACCGAATTTAAAAACATGGGACAGTAGTTGGTACTCTAAATACATGAAATTCAGGAATCGGTACTGTCGGTACCGGGTACCGAGTACCAGTACCATTCTCGTTATCGGTTCCGGTGATGTTAATTCAGTTCAATACTCGGGATTAACTTTCGATCAAATTCGGTATTCGAGAAACCGGGAACGGTACGGGTCGGTATCGGTTCCGTCCCACGCTCATCCCTAGTAATATTTACGAAAACATACGTTTAAAAAAATAGATTTTAAGAATACATTATTTTTTTACAGTTTAATCATTAAGATTTTTTAATTCTTACAATACTGAATTATCTGATTTGTTTCAATGTTAACAATTTTAACAAGTTTTGTCGGTTGCTTCCTGACAACCTTATGCCACGTCCGACTCCCTTTTTTAAACCCATTACCACGTGAGCTTCCAGGTAACCCTATGCCCTCATACCTTAAAAACTTATTTCTTCAACCGACACCTTTGCCATGCTCATCACCTGTCTTCCAAACCCATGCCTCTACCTACAAAACTTCTCCATAGCAGAGATGGTGCTTCCACTGACGAGGCTTCCCCAATTGGGTCTTGATACGAGTAAGCAATTTCATAACCATGTGTCCTTTAGGTCCCATGTTCTCGATCGATATACATAATATCGATATTTCTGTTTGGAGTTCATGAAACCCTTGAATCGATGATTGGTTGAGTCATTTGATTGCTATAGTATTTCTAGCATTCTCCAAACACCCTTTATAAACATTACAAAATCCTCCATTGCATATGACACATTTTCCCTAAATTAATCAGTAGCAAATTTCGCCTCTGCGAGTGTATAATGATGGAAACAATTATGATGGAAGTAACGAGCATAACAACTTTAGAGACTTCGATTCATTAGAATTGATTCCCATGATGAATTGTCCATGGCTAGCCTTCGATAACATACAAGCATAATAACTAGAACATATAACAAGATTAATCCTCCCCCAACACCTTCAAGTATCACAACAAAGGCTTTGAAAGACTCACTCAAGCACAAACAAGTGATGCAAGGAAGTAAATTCTTGTTTACTTCATTAAAGGGATGGTTCTAGTTTAAGTCTTCCTTAAATGAATCGCCTCCTTAAATGCATCAACTCGATCGACTAACCATTTAATAGTTCAAAAAAGTTACCTTTATTATTTAAGTCTTCATTCTTGGCCACAAAATGCTAATCATTTTTGGAGTAGGAACCTAACAGAGTCAATTAAAGCATTTAAACGAGTACATTTTTTTTTCCTGTAAAGTAGTTTGTTTCTCATGTAACGTCCCAAAATTTCATAATAGATTTTTCATTTAAAATAAGTTAACAAATTAAAACAGTTTACTTAAAAATGTTAAGTAACATTCATTTATTTTAATATCTAAACATTAGTAGATTTGAATTACAAAATTATGGAAACAAAATCTTTGATGGAGTGTACAGTCTCGCCGATCTCCTCTCATGAACAACCTGCAAAATATTTAATCCACAACTATGAACATAAAGCTTTGTGAATTCCCTAATATACCACATATTCTATAACATCTTGTTTCAAGATCATTTCCATTTCAGGGCGATGATCGAGGATTGAGGAATTAGTAGGTTTAGGATCCTTAAAGAAGTTAGTATGGGCTCTATTGGAGGTGGATGATGTGTATTGGATAATCCGGGTATTCGGTTTGTGGTTTGGAGTTAAAGGGTAGTTCGGTAATTTGTCAGCTTAGGCTTCTATAGGAAAATGGATGTTTGTTCGGGGTATAGTAAGGCGGGTACGAGTTTATTAAAACATAGAGCTTCTCGTCACCTTTTTATGGATATATGGATCGTTGGAATCAGGTGTATATTGAAGTAGTATGATGGAGGAAATGTCGTGTACGCGTAGCGTACTGTGAGGGTAATGATCGGGGGGGGGGGGGGGGTCCGAAGATGTATTTCGGGCGTACAGAAGTATACGCGGGGTGTACGCTAAGAACCTTGAAAACCATAATTATGGGGTTGGCCACTATTTAAGCATCCCTATGGACTTGAACCCCTCATTTCATCAACCTCCTTGTCCTCCTTACCGTACTTCCGAACCCTAATCCCACCTTGTGTGTTTTTGAGCTTAGAATGCCTTTTTGTGGTGTATTTGATGGGTTTTGAGCATAACAACATTCCTATGGTATTCATGCGAACCTAATGCTTGTATCTAGTTTTTCTAATTGTACATGCAAATTGTCCAAGACTTGCAAAACCCTAATCTAGCATACAACAAAACTAATTGAATCTCAAATAGACAAGTTAAATGATTACCTTGGTTGTTGATTGAGGATCTTGAAGCTTTGAGAACCTTAGCACCCCAAATGTTGTGCCTCTAATGAATCACAAACACCAAAAAAATTGGA